TTATCATCATCTTACATACCCTTTGGGGAGCCTTGGCTTCCTGGAGTTGGAAACTCATAGCCAATGGCCATGTGCTCTATTACACTTACCATTTGTTAAGCTGTTACTCTGTGTAGATACTACATGTTAATTCATATATTGATTATTATCTGTATTAACTCATTTAATTTCATTACAGTCTGATAGAGTAAGTACTATTTGTGGTCCTTATTGTAGAGAGGAGGAAACGTAGACACAAGGTGATTTAAGTAACTTGCCCAATGGCTCTTAGTCATGAAGCTGGGATGAACCCAGGCAGTTGGGCTTCTGAGTCCACGCTAAGCACCATCCTATTCCTCTTTGGAGGTAGCTGGTAGAAGAATTTACATTTTGTTTGAAGACTGTCTCTCAATCTATCCTTCTATACATCTGTCTCCCCATCTGTCCAATACTGCTTGTGAGGAGCGGTGTGCCTTGTATTATGTCAGGTGCTGTGGTTAAAAGGTGAGTCATACCCAGTCTTTATGCTCCAAAGATGTACCATCTCTGGGGCTGACTATGTACCTCTGTTCAGTTCAGACAGTGCTGGATGAAAGACTAGACATTGGCGGAGCTAGATCAATACATTAGAATCTGTAACAGAACAGATGGGTCGCACATATCAGAAGCACCTGGGATGGTGGGGCTCGGGAATCTGTGTTTTTAACAAGCACCCTTGGTGATTCTTAGGCACATTAAAATTTGAGAAATGATTTGAAGGACCGTTTCTAAGGAAGTAGAAAGTTTGGTTTGCTTCCCCTGAGAAGTGCCCAGCCTAGTTACAGAGGCAGGAGTAAGTAAGTCTATGAAATACAGAGAACAGGCATTTTTCAACTATTGGGATGCATGGAGTTCTTTGGAAGTCCCATTAAGGGCTGCTATGGAGTGGGGTGGGCAAAAGGGACCAGAGGAAGTTAGGGGAGCAGGGCTCTAGGCTTTCAATTTTGAGTCAGCTAGAGCAGCTTCTTTTCCATTGGATTGGATTGCAACTGAAGATTTAATTCGGAGAAATCCCCCTGCTTAAAAGATGATTAAATGTCTTTTTAAGTTAAATAAAACCTTAAGGAAGTATGTAAAGAGTTATGTGAACTAGATTAAACTTAAAAACTGGGGAAGTCCTGAGAAGAAAGGGAAGTCAGTGTATGACTCTGGTCACCATGGCAATCTGGATACAGTATTTATCTAGCAAGAAGGAATTCAGGAAAAGAAGAAGATGGGGGAATAATTAAACACTTTTATTTTTCAGATTATAATTGAAGCATAAGCATTAATTTGTTTTAGAAAACATCATTTTAAATGACAACATAGTATTCCATTATCTTGGTGAATCTTAATTTATTTAAATGCTCTTTTTAGTAGACGTTTATAATATATCAATACTTTATTTCCCAGTGCTACCATGACTGTTGTTGTATACTACATATGTTTTTGCATATTTCCTCAAACTTCTTATGATTAATTGCTGGAGGGTAACTGAGATGCAAGAAGGCATATACATTAACAAATAAGTGACTAATAGTACAAAGTAATTAGCCTTGAGGCTTTTAAAGGGCAACAGTGGCAGAATGTGACATGTTAGCTTTTTAACTCATCCTTGTAGGTCCAGGCTGCCTTAGCCAATAGGAGGCGCCTCCTAGAGGAAGGCTGGGAGCGAGGAAGGCTCTGAACTGGCAGGCCTGTGACACATGCTGCACCCCACTCTGCCTATTAGCAGGGCCAGCCCAACCAATAGGCAGGGCCCAGCAAGGCTCTGTGTAGCTCTACCAGGACCTTTCACAAAATGCTTTGAGTCAGATGTGTTATGGATTTAAAATTATTATTTTATATTTAGGAAAGGTAATACAAGGTATTTCCTCTGCATATTAAGCACCCCACTTAATGATGGGGAGTACCCTGTGGGTCAAGCATAGGAACAAGTATTTATTTCATTCCTACATATTTAGAGACAAGGTTTCAGTCTGATGTAATCATAGCTCACTGCGTGCAGTGAGCTAGAGTGCAGTGGCACAATCATAACTCACTGCAGCTTCAAGCTATTTGGTTTAAGTAGTCCCAAGTAGCTGAGACTACAGGCAGGAGCCATCATACCTGGCTAATCTTTGACCTTTTTATAAAGGAAGGGCCTCACTATGTTGACCAGGCTGTTCTCGAACTCCTGGCCTGAAGCCATCCTCCTGCCTCAGCCTCCCAAAGTGCTGGGATTATAGCCATGAGCCACTGTGTCCTGCCAAGCACAGTAATATTTTTGTTGTGAAACAATAATGAATATTTGAAGTAAGTGAGAAAATAAAGACTATAAGTCAGCTTTGTGCAGTGGCAGTATCATAGCCAATAAGGTTTATCCGAGGCATGATGATTATTGCTAATTGAAAACTTTTCCCAGCACCCCTCCATGACGACTTGAAATATAGTTGGCATTGGCAATTTTTAACAGTCTCTTTGGAGACTGAATTAAAAAAAAAAAAAAAAAGACTATAAGTCATTGTGTTAATTCAGGTCAGGTCAGGATTTGCAGCTAAATGATTTTGCTACCAACTTGTGAAGACTCTTTTGGCTTCAGAGCTTTTTTGATTTCAGAATTGAGGATAAAGTATTTGGGGCCTGTATTGATCTGTTTTCACACCGCTATAAAGAATGCCTGAGACTGGGTAATTAATAAAGAAAAGAGGTTTAATTAACTCACAGTTCCACATGGCTGGGGAGGCCTCAGGAAACTTACAATCATGATGGAAGGCAGAGGAGAAGCAAGCACTTTTTTGACAAAGCAGCAGGAGCGAGAAAGAACTGCCACACACTTTTAAACCAACAGATGTCATGAGAACTCACTCACTATCACCAGAATAGCATGGGGAAACCGCCCCCATGGTACAGTCACCTCCCACCAGGTCCCTCCCTTCACACATGGGGATTATAATTCAAGATGAGATTTGGGTGGGGACACAGAGCCAAACCATGTCATGGTCTGAATTTATTCTGTTAAATTTAAACAGGTAGATCTGACCTAGCAAAAGAAAGAATTCTCATCCCTTGATGCTCAAGGAGTTTGATCATCGTTTCAAGCTCATAAGGAAGTTGGGAGCTCTTCATACATTTGCAGATGATGTGTCTAAACATTACTGTTTTCTGTACTAAATATTATACTTTTTTTTCCAGAGCATCTTCCATCTCCTAGACCAACTTGTGCATTCACTAATGGAAGCATTGAAGTCCTTTGCAAGATATCGGAGCATTATAACAGCCATCCAGAACTTATAGAGTACTCATGGGATTGTCCTATGGAGCAATGCAAACATAACTCAACCAAAATATACTTTAAGCTGGAAGATGATATTCCACAGACAATACAGTGTACTGCTAGCAATCCATTAGTTAATAAAACATCATCGATTGTTTTGGAAACCTGTGTCCCAAGCAGGGGTGAGTAAATAACTAAATGTGTCATGGAGGCTTTCCAAGCACAGATGTGGTAACTAACATAAGGTTCACAATTTCGAAATGTAAAATGAGTTACAATTTTTAACAGAAACCCCAGTATACATATAAAGCTAACATTATTTAGCACTTTCTGTATTAAGCAAAATTCTAACACATGTGTTAATTAATTCGATCTTATATCAATCCTCATACAACCTATACGTTGCATACTAGTATTTATCCCTACTTCCTAGTGAGAAACCAACAGAGGTTAAGTTTGCCCAATGTCAAGAGCTAGTAAGTTGTAGAACCTGGTTTTGAATGGAGGCTATCCAGCTCTAGAGCCCATGGTTTTAACTATTTACAATGCTGCTTTATAATATTCTTAATAATGATTATGTTCTCAAAGGTTGCATATCTGCTACAGGAGCATGCCTTTGGTATGTTTCCTTAGGCCTAATACTGAGTTACTCTGTCTTGGCTGTGATTTTCTAATGTCATTTTACTATTACTTACATTTGCAATTTTTATTACCTGTTTTTTTACATTATATCCCCAGTTTAACAAACAAAAAGATCAGTAACTTGAAAGTAGTTTACTAAAATATAAAATAAGAGATGAAAATAGTAAATACTATTATTCAGAATAATATAATTGTAAATAGTGAACAGGATTCCAGGGCAAATAGAGAATATGTGTCTCTTGGGTTGGGATAAGGTAAGTCTATGAATGAAATTTTTCTGAACAAGCAGCTGAAACAGATAAGGGAAATCAGTAAATACAAGAAATATAAAAACTTGGATTTTAACTGGTGAGCCATTCTAAGTCTCCCATTGATTGTCTTTTCTGAACTGTTTCAAACAGTAACTTAAAGCCATTCAAGTTATATTATTTTCAGACAAAGCAGAGTAACTTCTTGGGAAAGGAAACACATTTTTCTTTTTCTTTTTTTTTTTTTTTATTGCATTTTAGGTTTTGGGGTACATGTGAAGAACATGCAAGATTGTTGCATAGGCACACACATGGCAGCGTGATTTGCTGTCTTCCTCCCCTTCACCTATTTCTGGCATTTCTCCCCATGCTATCTCTCCCAACTCCCCACCCCCGCTGTCCCTCCCCTATTTCCCCCCAACAGACCCCAGTGTGTAGTGCTCCCCTCCCTGTGTCCATGTGTTCTCATTGTTCAACACCCGCCTATGAGTGAGAACATGCGGTGTTTTGATTTTCTGTTCTTGTGTCAGTTTGCTGAGAATGATGGTATCCAGGTTCATCCATGTCCCTACAAAGGACACTAACTCATCGTTTTTGATGGCTGCATAATATTCCATGGTGTATATGTGCCACATTTTCCCTGTCCAGTCTATCATCGATGGGCGTTTGGGTTGGTTCCAGGTCTTTGGCTGGGCGTGGTGGCTCACACCTATAATCCAAGCACTTTGGAGGCCAAGGCGGACGAATCACCTGAGGTCGGGAGTTCAAGGAAGGAAACACATTTTTCTTTCTTTCTTTTTCCTTCTCTCTCTCTCTCTTTCTTTCTTTCTTTCTTTTCTTTCAAGATGGGGATTCAGCATGATGGCCAGGCTGGTCTTGAACTCCTGACCTCGGGTGATCCACCAACCTCGGCCTCCCAAAGTGCTAGGATTACAGGTGTGAGCCACCGTGCCCGGCATAAGATTTTTCAGGAAAAAGTATGTCGTCCTCGTGAAAGCGGGCAGCGGCAGGCCAGGGTCCTGGAGCCCCGGCCTGGGATGCTGGCCTGCGGCCGCACCCAGCTCCCCAGCACGCCCCGCCCGGCTGGCCGCTTGCAGCCCCAAAGGTCAGGGCGCTTTGTCTGCGCCGCAGGCCGCTTCCTGAGCAGCCCCGCAGAGGAGGCGCAGCCGTGAAGGAGAAGGCGGGTAGAGGCCTTGGCCACTCAAATCTCCCGCTCGCCCAGCCTGCCCGGCGTGCCAGGGCGTGGTGGTTACACGGCTGGGCGTGTCCGGAGCGGTCAGGCTTCCCGTTTTTAAGGTGGAGACGTCCAGGACCTCTTTATTAGATGTTTAGGAATTTGAGTTTTTACGTCGGGCCGTAGTCAACATGCGCCCCTGTGGGGCAGGCTGGGCTAACTGGGGTTTCGATTTTAAGTTTCGTATGGCCAAGGGCATGTCTGAAGGGGAAGAACGTTCTTGGTGTTGCTTCTTAGTTGTTGGGAGCTGTGAGGTGCGAGAGAGATGGGCGGCGTGTGCTCCCGAGGACTGCCCTCAGTGAGCTTGGACTAGTTACTCACGGGACTTGGTTTACCAGCCAAGGAGATAAAGACATTCAGATGGTAGATAACACTTTTTCAGATGGGGTTCCTTCAGATTCCATGGAAGCTGCTAAAAATGCAAGTAATACAGAAAAGCTCACAGATCATGTGATGCGGAATCCTTGAGTTAGGGCCGCTTTACAGGAACGACTTGACTATGCCCCTTACACCCCTTCCAGCTACAGCGAAACTTTACCTAAAGCAGTAAAAAGAAGAATTAATGCATTGAAACAACTTCAGGTGAGATGTGCCCTCGTGGAAGCCAAGTTCTATGAAGAAGTTCGTGACTTAGAAAGTGTGCAGCATCATACCAGCCTCTCTTTGACAAGGGAAGAGAATTTATCATCCGCGATGTTGAACCGACAGATGCGGAATCAGAATGGCACAGTGAAAATGAAGAGGAAGAGAGATTGGTAGGAGACATGAAAGAAAAAGCAGTCCTAGCAGAAGCAGCAGCAGTAACAGCTGAAGAGCCAAATCCCAAAGGCGTTCTAGAGTTCTGGTTTACCATCTTTAGAAATGTAGCTATGCTAAGCGAATTAGTTCAGGAATATGATGAACTAATCTTCAAAAACCCGCAGGATATTAAAGTAAAGTTTTCTGACCCTGGACAGCCTGTCTTTTGTGTGAGAGTTCCACTTTGAACCCAATGACTACTTCACCAACTCAGTCCTGACAGAAACCTACAAGATGAAATCAGAACCAGATAAGGCTGATCCCTTTTCCTTCGAATGTCCTGAGATTGTGAACTGACAGGTGTAGTATTGCTGGAAGAAAGGAAAGCATGTTACTGTCAAAACTGTCAAGAAAAAGCAGAAACATAGGCGTCGAGGCACTGTTAGAACAATTACAAAACAAGTACCCAATGAATCATTTTTCAGCTTCGTCAATCCACTGAAAGCATCCGGGGATGGAGAATCACTGCATGAAGGTTCTGGATTCACATCAGCCTCTGATTTTGAAATTGGACACTTTTTCTGTGAGCCAGTGGATAGTCCCATGGGCTGTGCTGTACTTCACTGGGGACGCCATAGAGGATGATGACAGTCTTGAAGAAGGTGAAAAGAGGAGGAATTAGAAGGTGACAAGGGGGGAGAAGATGAGGATGATGCGGGAATTAACCCCAAGAAGGAACCCAGCTAGCCGGTGGAATGCAAGCAGCGGTAGGAAGCGAAGGCAGGCGCCTGGCCTACCGGCTACTGGGACTCCAGGCCTGTGGGCGGGGCTTGGTGTGGGCGGGGCCTCGGTCCTTGCCGCATCAACAGCTCTTCCATCTAACAAGTTTTCAAGTGCAAGATTTTCACTTTCACTTTTTCTTTTTCCTTATTATTTTGCTTAACTTGTACAGTGACCACTGAAATATGTTTCAGAAATGGGAGTTTTCATCCAGCACCCTCTGCTGCCTTGGTGCCGGTAGCTTTGGACTTGCCTGGGCCTTTCTCTGTGGGAGGGCCCATAGACCACATCGGGGTGGGATAGGGGTCACTTGGCAAAAAGGACCGAAGTCTGGTGATGTGGTTCCAGAACCTAGAACCTTTCCTACTACTCCTGCATTTGGACTGATTTCTTCCCTTTCATTTGAAGAAAGCGACTCATCTGTTTCCAGCCTGCCGAGGGCAGCCTGCGTCACCTGTTGGATGCTAATCATCTCAGAAGGGCTGTGTGGAGTAGGGCCATGTTCTTAGGACGGTGTTTCTTGATTTTCTCTTTTTTAGGGGTGAGTTAGGGTTGTGGCACACCAGCTCAGGCGAGAGCTGCCGCAGGTCACCTCCTATTTATTTTGCCCTTCTTGCCTGTGAGGACTGCGGTCTTTCACTGTCGCTGCTCTTTACCATTTCTGCACCACCTTGGTGACCTAACCAGGAAGATGTGCCACTTCCTAGCAGGAGCAAGGCCTGTGCGGAAAAAGCGCTGCTCCCTGCCACCTGGCTGAAGACACCAGGAGCCTGTCCTGGCGACTCAGGCGCCGCCTTGCTGCTGAGCTGGCATTCTGTGGTCTTCAACAGTGAGCGGCTGGGCTGGGAAGTCCTGCATTTCAGTTGAGCATATGAGCGTCAAGTCCTGCTTTCTCAGTTGTTCCATTGCTGGGCCCCACCATTCATCCTGTCTGAAGGTCCTGGGTTTGGTGTGACCAGTCGGCGGCCAGCGGGTGGGGTTTCCGAGTGGGTGGCAGCGTTCCCCGGCAGCCGGGGATGGGCGTGTTGCACTGACCAGGCCTGTGGAGCGTGCTCAGCCTAACCTTGGAACACATTTGTAACTGCATACAGTGTTTTCAATTTGTAGAGAATAGTTAGAATATGCTATTAAAGTTGTGAAACGTGGAGAAAAAAAAGAAAAAGTGCAAATGAGTTCCAATTTATAACTGATGTATTTAATTTCTGAAGACAGAGAAAAGATCAAACCCACAGAGGTGTCACTCAAAGGAGCACTGTTTGTACAAGTCACACAATTGCAAGAAGTTTTTAAAACTAGCTGCAAAGTTATAATAGTTAAGCGTGGAGCAAACATTCCTTTATTAATTCCACCTTTTGAGTGTTACATAATACCCAAGGCACACGATATGGAAATGTCATTTGTCATAAAAGCAGATAGTTGCTTTATAATGGGAACATGAAAAAATAAAACCAGTGTGCTTTTGCCTTTTGGTGTATGTGTGCTGGATCTAACTGACAAGGAGAAAGAAGATGACCACATACAGGCAGAGCAAGCATATTGAAATCTTGAAAAGTTTTAAGTGTTCCAAGAGACAAAGTACTTGAAGGAATTAATTTCTGAATAAGATCCCTTCATAGAATTACATGGACTATTTGAGGGGATTTTCAAATCCCCTAAACAGTGTTTTGCCCTTGCAAAATTTTCACTTTATGTTTGCCGTTACAATTGAAGACACAAGTAAGATTACATTCCCTGTAGATAGTCTGGTGAAAGAGCATCATCATCATATTCCTCTCATTGATTTGAAATAAGTATCATTAATTTGAAAACATTCTTTTAATTATTAAATAATGGTGATTTGTCCTTCTTTTACATGTTCTTCCAAATTGATAGTTCACATCTATACAATAGAGTTTAGAAGTTTGAGGAATGTTGCTTGATAGTTCTTAGGTGTTTAAATCCTGCAGTAGTGTTGACATCTGAGACGTACATGTGGGCTTCTGACCCTGGTTTCTGTTAACCAAATGTTGGAGGACCTTCTCCTTTTAAAATGCGAACCAGGAGCTGAACTTAATGATCTTATTTGTTCTTTTGAACAACAGTGTAGGATTTTTTTTTCCGTGATGATTTTTGAATGCATTTGTGTGGAACCACGTGCACCATAACAAATACAACCCATGAAAGTATAACAGTTAAAGAGTAGATCTTACTTTTTCAGGTTTTGATTTCTCATCCAAACTTTCTGGTGCTTTATTAGTGAAGCAAGATAACTCACATTGACTTGCCTGCTCTCCTTTAGCAAACCCTTCCAAATACATGCCTCATTTGCTCCTCCCCACTACTATTTAGATTGGCCAGACAGTTCACCTTTTAAGAATGAGGAGACAGATTCAACCAGGTGGGGTAACTTGCCCAAGGTCACTTAAGTTTTGGAGATAGAATTAAAATATAGGTCTTTGAATTCTAGAGTGTTTTTGTATGATACTGTCCTGACTTTCTATACATCTCAAATCAAATTTTAAAGTTTTCTTTGATTTATTCACAGGAGTCAGCTGGAGAAACCCATACCAGGTAGATATACATAGATATTGGTCAGATGTAACTTAACTTTTTACTGCATTATCTCGTGTTTCTTGTAACATTTTGTCTAGTAGGACCTTTTTGTGGTTGGTGGTCACTTTAGTCATGACATCTACTGTCATACCATCACTGCAACCCAGAAATCGGGTGGTGGTGTTATTAACTAGTTAAACATAATCTAAAGAAGAATTTTAGAGACAGTTAAGATTGAAGATAGAGTTCTTGTCCACCTCATATTGTATCGGGGGGATGAACTAATATTTACTGAAGGCCTGCTCCACAACAAACTCCTATAAATGATTTACATAAATGCATGACATTTAATCCACACAACAAACTAGTGGTGTGGGAATTACAAAGGAGGAATCTGAGGCACAGTGAGGTTAGGTAACTTGACTGAGTATGCACATTTACTAAGAGCAAAGCCGGGATTTGACATCCAACTCCATCTGAACTCAAAGTACTGTGTCTTCCCTACCGTACTGGTGAAGTGAAAGTAAGAAGATGACTCAAAGATGTACAGTTATAATCTAGAATTTGGAATTTACTTCCTTTGGTAAACCATTTGAAAATTGCAGCTCAAGGCTTTGGGAGATGGAAGAAAGCTAGCGAGCAATTATTTCTTGCCTTTGTGCCATGCTTCCATGGTTTGCTCCTCCTTATCTCCTTATCTGCAGTCAGTGTAAATGGCATGTCAGTTTTATGCCTGTACTACAGATGTTCACAAACTTCAAGGTCAGAAAGCTGGTTTATGGCAGCACCTGAATATAGACGGACTTACACAGATCAGAAAATGGAGAAGTTGAGGGTAGGAGAACATTCTGGATAGAAAAGAACATGGGATTGGGACCCCAGACCTGATTTCATTGCTTACCGGCAGTGTGAATGTGGGAGATTACATGGCATGAAACATCTGTGAGCTTCAGCTCCTTTATCCATACAATGGGGATAATAATACTTACTTTATAAAGGCTGAGGAAAGTAAATAAAATAACGTGGGAAAGAGTATTGATGATGGTTAGTCACTGTAAAATTGTTAGCTGTTATTCAGGATACAAGGAAGAGTTTCAAGAGAGGATGCTTGGTATAACATTATATACAAAATGGTTTAAGGAGGACAGTGTAGAAGAGATTGTACATTTGGCACTTAGGAGGTTGTTTTTGACAGTCCTTGTGAGAAGATGAGGGTAGGAACTATATTCCTAGGCTTTAAGTAAGAAGAGGGGTAGTCCAATAGGCCAGTTATGTATTTGCCCGTGAAAAGAAGAAAAGAAAATCTAAGTACGTTTGAGAGTCAAAGGTTATTTCCAGGTAAAGAAACCCAAGGACTTCACCATTCTCTCATAGATAAGAAGTAGGATTCTTATCTCTCATAGATATGAAGTAGGATGGGAAGAAGTAGGATGATTGTAAGACTCTCCACATTGATACAGAATTCTAAAGGGGAGCCCAGGAAAAGAGCACATTTTTTGAAGGGGTAGGCAAAAGGACATTCTCTAGAGTATCCGTTTCCAACTGTTGTCCACATTTATGGACCAAGAACATAAAAGAAACATTGTTCAGCTCCGACCTGAACTTATGCAGAACAAACATTGTTCTGAGTTCAGCTAGATAATCTTTCTTTCATAGCTGAGGTGGATATTATGTTACCTGCAGGGAGTAAGTCACTGAAGGGCCCTGAAGGTAGAGCCTCAGAAAAACACCCTTTGATCTTACCCCTGAGATAAATGAGAGCAATTGGAAAAAATTAATCATACAAACACAATAATATGGGGAAGTAGGAAAAAAGAGAAGAAGGAAAGAAATTCAACATAGGAAATAACATTATGTAGGCTGAGATGAAGAATGTTAAGAATATTTGAACAAAGTTTGAACCAGATGAGATGTAACTGGCAAAAACAGAAGTAGGAGAATTTTTGGACTGATTTAAGTTGATCTCTTGTGACTTTTATAGATTTCCACTGGGAAGGATAGTGATTAAGAATGTGCCCTTTCCTTTTAAAAATTGAGAAAGAAGGCTACGTGCAGTGGCTTATGCCTATAATCCCAACACTTTGTGAGGCCAAGGCAGGAGGATTGCTTGAGGCCGAGAGTTCAAGACCAGCCTGGGCAACATAGGGAGACCCTATCTCTACTAAAAATTAAAAGATTACCCAGGTGTTGTGGCATGTGCCTGTAGTCCTAGCTATTTGGGAGACTGAGGTGGGAGGATCACTTGAGCCTGGGGGTTTAAATAAATCAAGTCAATAATTGATAATCTTCTAAAACAGAAAGCACCAGGTTCAGATGGGTTCACTGGTGAATTCTACCAGACATTTAAGGAGGAAATTATATAATTCTCTGTAATCTCTTTTAGAAGATAGAATAAATTGTATCAATTCTCTATAATCTCTTTTAGAAGATAGAAGCAGAGGGCATACTTTCTAACTCATTTTATGAGGCCAGCATTATTCTTGTGCTAAAGCCAAAGAACAGCACAAGAAAAGAAAACTAAAGACAAATGTTTCTCATGAACACACATGTAAAAATCTTCAACAAAATATTAGCAAGTTGGATCCAACAGCATATAGAAAGAATTATACATTGTGACTAAGTGGGATTTATTTCAGGTGTGCAAGGCAGGTTCAGCATATGAAAATCAATTAATGTAATATCTATCACATTGACAAACTATGAAAGAAAAATCACATGATCATGCCAATAGATACAGAAAAAGCATTTGACAAAATCCAATATCAATTTATGATAAAAACTTTCATAAACTAGGAATAGAGGGGAACTTTTTAAACTTGTTAACAAATGCCTACAAAAAAACTCTGCAGCTACCTAACATCATCTATAATGGTGAGAAACTTGAAGCTTTCCTACTAAGACCAGGAACAAGGAAAGAATGTTTCTCTCACCACTCCTTTTCAACATTGTACTATAAACACTAGCTAATGCCATAAGATAAGTAAAGGAAATAAAAATTATACAGATTGAAAAGAAAGAAAATTATTTTAGTTCTCAGATGACATGAATATCTATATATACAGTCCAAAAGAATTGACAAAAAACCTCCTGGAACTAATAAAAAACTACAGCAAGTTTGCAGGATACAAAGTTAATATACAAAAGTCAATCACTTTTCTATGTATCAGCAATGAACAAGTAGAATTTGAAGTTTAAAACATAAGACCATTTACATTAGCACCCCAAAAATGCAATACTTAGGTATAAGCCTAACAAAATATGTACCAGATTTATATGGGAAAATCAATAAAACTGATTAACAAAATCAAAGATGAACTAAATAAATGGAGAGATATTCTATGTTCATAGATAGGAAGACTCCATATTGTGAAGATGTCAGTTATTTCTAACTTGATCTATAAAGTGCATTCCCAAGCAAAATATCAGAAGTCATTTGTGGATATCAGCAAACTGATTTCAAAGTTAAATGGGCAGGCAAAAGAGCAGAATGACCAGCAAAATACTGAAGGAGAACAAAATTGGAGGACTGATACTACTCAACTTCAAGACTTACTGTAAAGCTCCAGTAATCAACATACTGTGGTATTGGTGGAAAAATAAGAGAAATAGATCAGTGAAACAGAATAGAGAGCCCAGAAATAGACCAACATAATATATTCAACTGTTCTTTCGATGAAAGAGCAAAGGCAATACGATGGAGCAAAGGTGATCTTTTCAACAAATAATGCTGTAAAAACTGGACATCCACATGCAAAAAAAAAAAAAAAAAAAGTCTAAACACAGACCTTATACCCTTGACAAAATTTTACTCAAAATGAACTGTAGATCTAAATGTAAAATGCAAAACTATAAGATTCCTAAAAAGAAAACCTAGGTAACTTTGGATATGGTGATGACTTTTTAGATACAACACCAAAGACATGATTCATGAAAGAAAGAATAAGTAAGCTGTACTTCATTAAAATTAAAAACATTGCTGTGTGAAAGGCAATTTCAAGAGAATGAGAAGCCAAGCCACAGACTGGGAGAAAATATTTGCAAAAGACACATCTGATAAAGGACTGTTATCCAAAATATACAAAAAACCTTCTTAAAACTCAACAAGAAAAACACAAACAACCCAATTTTAAAAATGAGTCAAAGACCTCATCAGACACCTCTCCAAAGAGGATGTACAGATGGCCAATAGGGATATAAAAAGATGCCCCCTGGCCAGGTGTGGTGGCTCATACCTGTAATCCCAACACTTTGGGAGAACGAGGTGGGTGGATCACCTGAGGTCAGGAGTTCAAGAGCAGCCTGGCCAAATGGAAAAACGCTATCTCTACTAAAAATACAAAAATTAGCTGGTTGTGGTGGTGCATGCCTATAATCCCAGCTACTTGAGAGTCTGAATCAGGAGAATTGCTTGGACCCAGGAGGCAGAAGTTGCAGTGAGCCAGTATCACACCACTGCACTCCAGCCTGGGTGGTGGAGAGAAACTCTGTCTTGAGAAAAAAAAAAAATGCTCCATGTCCTATATCATCAGGGAAATGCAAACAAAAACAATAATGAAATACCACTTCACACCTATCACACTGGCCAAATCTGGAACACTGATAGCACCAAATGCTGGTGAGGATGTGGAACAACTCTCATTCATTGCAGTTGGAAATGCAAAATGGTGCAGCCACTTTGGAAGACAGTTTGGCAGTTTCTTACAAAAGTGTACATACTCTTACCGTTCAATGCATCAGTCATGCTTCTCGGTATTTACCCAAAAGCATTGAAAACTTATGTCGACATAAAAACCTGCGCATGATGTTTATAGCATCTTTATTAGTAATTGCCAAAACTTGGAAGCAACCAAGATGTCCTTAAGTAAGTGAATAATAAACTGTGGTACCTACAGACAATAAAATATTATTCAGCACTAGAAACTATCAAGCCATGGAAAGACATGGAGGAAATTTACATGCATATTACTGAGTAAAAGAATCCAATCTGAACAGGCTACATGCTATGTGATTCTACCTATGTGACATTCTGGAAAAGGCAAAACTATGGAGACTGTAAAAAGATGTGGTTGGCAGGGGACATGAATAGGTGGAACACAGAGGAGTTTGGGGACAGTAAAAATACTCTGCATATACTGTCATGATGTCATTATACATTTGTACAAACCCACAGAATATACAACTGATCCCTAATGTAAAGTATGGATTTTTTAGTGGTAATGATGCATCAGTGTGATTTCATTAATTCTAAAAAATGTATCACTCTGGTGAGGGATGTTGATAATGGGGAGGCTCTGCATGTGTAGGGGCAGGGTGTATGTGCAAAGTTTCTGTAGCTTCTGCTCAGTTTTGTTGTAATCTAAAACTCAAAATTATATAAAGCCAAATAAAACTAATGTACTAAGCCATGAATCAAGTTGGTAGAATAACCCCAAATAGAGGAACCATTCCAAGTGTTTTAAAAACATAGTAATTTGGTGGCATAGTTCAAGGGGCTGCATTCTAAGGATAAAAAGAACTACAAAGAAAAACATTGTAATCTGTTTTAAGTAATTATATAGTTGGTGGTAATGTTAGTATTTGGTTACTGTTGAGTATGTATTGCAGGAAAAAGCAAGTGAATATTGATATTGTTGTTATTGAATGTTGGGATGTTTGGCATGAAAGAAAGTAAATTCAGCTGTAAGTTGATTAGGTTAAGTAAAAAAACTGTAGCCCTAGATTTAGTTAAAGGTATTAATTTAAGCCATAAGGAATCGCTGTTTCTCTAGCCAAAAATCTTGAATCCTAGCAACTGAATAGGGTTCAACATAATGTCAGCATGACCCATTAATGTATTTTGTCTCTTAAAAAATCGTGTATTTCCTGGTCTGTCCATTGAAATGTTCTAGAAACAAGAGCCAATCCCACAACAATTTGCATGCTTCTTGGTTCTTGGAGCCAGATCTGAGTGACCAATGTTTCCTGGTGTGCCTAGCCTTCCCAGTTTCAGCACCCAAATTTCACATCCCAGGAAACTCCTCAGTTTCAGGAAAACCAGGATGATTGGCCACCTTAACCCAAATTATGGTATCTAATTACCATTTCCCATGAAAATGAACCAGGGCCTTTGGAACAGTTGGCTGATTCCATATCTGGGGTATGGAATGCATTAAAATGAGCCTTGAATATCTTATTTTACTGCATAACAAGAAATCTATCAAAAAGACTTACTATGATGTTACAGCAGGACTCAGGAGCTACTCTGAAGAGGTTCCCACCAGCCAAAAATGAGGCAATTGGAAATTCAATAAGAATAACAACTTCAGTAGATTGAAACACATCATTTGTGCTCAGTTCACGAGTTCATAATAGTACTAAAAACAAATTTAAAAACTCATTGGTCATGTCTAGAGAATGCTTGGGAGCCAACTCATTATCTTGAAAATGGTAAAGAAAGAGAATCAGACACTGCTTTTCCTATACAAACGGAACCTCAGAGTAACCACATTGTTGATGAGGGGCAATTTATCTTTACGTGAAGATTGTAGTTAGTAAAGAAGGAATGATAGATTAAACCACTTTGCAAACTGTTGATGAAATTATGGCTCTAGACAATCATCTTCAATGGCATCGACATCGTGGAAAGAAAATCAACCAGGCACCGTATGCCACCTGAGGGAAGTATACAACACTACTTAGTGAGTATTATTGCCAAAGGAAATCTGAATTCTCCTACTAAAGAAGGGAAAATGGTGTTCGGGGGTACCTAGCATTTTCTGGCCAGGGTCTTCTCAAATCTGACCAGTAGGTGACTGCCTATTTGTTCTAACACACCTGTGTTCCTAAAAAAAGGAAAGTGTGTGATCGTATTCTTACTCTCATTTATTCATTATTTTCTCTTTCTCCTCCTGTCCCTTCCTTTCCCATATCCATGTCATATTGCTCTTAGTGTATTGTGTACTCTGATTTTGGATTTTCAATAGCTGGATAGAGTTTACCTTGTGAACATACCACAGTTTTTTGTTGAAGACACTCAGGTTGTTTTTGCCTTATAGTGTATTAAGTAAGGCTGCAGTAAATATCTTTGTGCCTTCTTGCGGGGAGAAGAAGGATGCATCATTGATAGTTTCCCCAGGATAACATCTTAGAAATGGAATTGCAGAGTCACAAGATATTAATAGAAATACCAATGACAACTACTCAATAGGTTAATGACAGTATGTAACAGCTGTTCTTAAGTACAGCTACCCCATAAGATAAGTATATTTATTAGTCCCATATATAATTATCCTATGTATATAAATATACTTATCTCATAGGACAGCTGCACTTAAGAACAGTGTATGAGAAAATGGAGGCACTGAGAGGTTAAGGCACTTGCCCAACATTGTAATGACTTAGTGAGACCATAGGCACATGACTTAGTACAAGACCTAGATGTTTCATGATAATTTTTTTTTTTTTTTTTTTTTTGAGACAGAGTCTCACTCTGTCACCAGGCACCAGGCTGGAGTGCAGTGGCATAATCTCAGCTCACTGCAACCTTCCCCTCCCAGGTTCAAGCAATTCTCCTGCCTCAGCCTCCCAAGTAGCTGGGACTACAGGCAGGCGCCACCATGCCCAGCTAATTTTTGTATTTTTAGTAGAGACAGGGTTTCACCATGTTGGCCAAGATGGTCTTGATCTCTTGACCTCGTGATCCACCCGCCTCGGCCTCCCAAAGTGCTGGGATTACAGGTGTGAGCCACCGCACCAGGCCGATAAATATTTTTAAGGCTTGTTGTATACTGCCAGAATCGCCCTACCAAACATGATGCCAAGGTCTGCTTCCACTGGCAGTATAAGATGGTTAGAAACAAATCTTCTAGTGGAATATTTGCTTCTTTTATTTAAAAAGGCTGGTCACGGTGGCTCACACCTGTAATTTCAGCACTTTGGAAGCCGAGACAGGTGGATCACCTGAGGTCCAGAATTCCAGACAAGCCTGGCCAACATGGTGAAACCCCATCTCTACTAAAAATACAAAAATTAGCCAGGCATGGTGGCAGGTGCCTGTAATCCCAGCTACTCAGGAGGCTGAGGCAGGAGAATTGCTTGAACCTGGGAGGCAAAAGTTGCGGTGAGCCAAGATTATGCCACTGCGCTCCAGCCTCAGCGACAGAAAGAGACTCTGTCTCCAAAAAAAAAAAAAAAAAAAAAAAAGTAAAATAAAATAATAATAAATAACACTGGAATGTACTACACTTCTGCATATAAGTTCGTTTAGAAATAGCCAAATCTTGTTATTCATAGTAGTTCTACAGAGTCAAGTTGAACACTGAAATAGCAAGTACTGAACTAATGTTCCTGGGGAGAAAAATACAGAGGTGGGTTCCTGTGAGCCTCTAGTCATAACATTTTTGTTCGTGATCTGTTTTACGTATACTTCTGTTTAGATAAACCTTAATATATAGTGTTGATTTATTAACATTGAACTCATAGCCAGCAGCCCTATAGCTCATGCCTAAGTGAAGCTTATCTAATAAAACTATTTTCTCCATAAGTTCCTAAGTGCAAGGCTGCACTGAGGAACTCCTGTCAGTACTTCTACGGTATACTTTGAGACCATTTAAAATAGTAAAATCACCAACAAAAAAGCATAAAAATGCAAAATTATTCCCCTAAATAGACTGCAAATAGGACAGTTATTAACAGTGTAAGAGCTGAAACAAGAAGGAAGAGCTTCACCTTTTCCCACCTCTGCTAGGAATCTGCTTATTGGGTGACTCAAAGTTTTCATCACGGTTCTTATGTCTGAGAATGACTACTGTGGATATGATTTGTGGATTACAAATAAATTTCAGCAAATAAACAAATTGTAAGGTGGAATCTGCAAATAAGGAGGATCTATTTTGATTAGTTCAACTAGTTGAGTTTCTTTCTTTTTTTTTTTTACAGGTCATCCAAGGAACAGATATATGTTCATAGCAACACTAATAGGAGTAATTATAGTCATAATATGTATTATGCTATATGTGCTCGGTATGTATGCTTCTTAAAACAAAATCGTTTTTAAACTTGTGTTTGTTTTCCAAAGGCCAGAGAATAGTT